CTACTCTCGTGACAAAGTTTTGTCTCTTCGATTCGAAGAACGAAGTTGCTGAACTCATCCAATGTGTCTTTCCCATAAAGCGTCCCAGCCAGATCCAGGCACAACGTGTGACGCTGCTGGACATAGTTAACGGCCGCGCTAGCGAGCATTGATAGGGGGCTGAAAGTATGCCGTAGTGTACTGTGGCGTTTCTTGAGAGTACGGTCTCTTGGATGACCCAAACGCGCTGCCACTGCCAGTTCTATCGTCAGTCCAGATCAAACGAAGGCACTGTGAATAATCACCCAAGCCCTATCCATCAATCTTGCGAGACCGTGCCACACCCTAAGAGACTGTGACCCATGCCAACGGCTGTTTGTCGCAATCAGACCATGTCTCCTAGGATATTCGATGCGTTCAGATATAGTGGCTTTGTTGCGATCCAGCAACTTGAGCAGAGGGTACGAAATGTCTTCGGCGAAGTCCTGGATTAAACAAAACGCACCAAAAATATCCGGCCCTGTGTTCGCCGCGGGTGTGTCTGCAAATGCGACCAACGGTGCTACTCTACACGTGTTCTCAAAGTCGAGCATAAACTCATCCCGCAGGTCGCTGTCTCTGGAACCACCCTGTCCACACTATTTCGGAAGCATTGCCCTTCAAAAAGCGGGAGCCAATATCTTCACCAGGCGTTGGTCCGCCAAGCCATATGATCGTCTCGCGACTGTTGCTGTAGATGTCACCCATCAAGCCAACTTGTTTAGTTCTCTCCAAAGCATCTGCTTGGTTAATACACAACGCGTCCGCCCAGAGCAGGACCTCATGGTCAGGCTGTCGAAGTTTGCGCAGAGCCGTGAAAAGATTCTCAGAAACAGAGACAAGCTTCCCGTTGCACGTTATCAGAACCTGGCGAGCGACGCCTTCGGAACCCCACGTGTACGAAATTGCGATATAGCGCCCTCGAACATCGTCAATGGAAGAGGCCTGGAGCTCTGCGCGAATGTCATCCTCCCCGGCGCCAGGGTGAAGGTGTAGCACACGGATTGCACGCGTCGCAGCATCGAGAGGGAGGTAAATATCTTTCTTAGTCTTCCTGGCGCGTCTTCTAAGCTTCGACGCGATGCGCCGGGCCATGGCGGGTGAAGTGTGGACAGTTGTCATTCAGCTGAGAATGCCCTGTGCTTACGCTTCGTGATGGCGCGACTCAGCCACTCACAGATTGGGCGGCCTAACCGCAAGCTGACGGCCAGCTCCAAAGTCTCGCGATAGAACAGCTCCTGGGAACATTGTTGGTTCGATGCGATCGGCAATATCTGGCATCCGATGAATGATAAGGCGACAAGTTTAGTCTCCAGGGCTTCGTTGGGATGTCAGCCGTGACGTCACATGCGCACGATCCCGACAGCTTCGGCTCTAATTGCCTGTGGTGCTCGAAATCGACGCGTCCTCATCACTTGCCAAGGACCACAACGACGCATCAAACCTTTGTTCAACCACATCCTTCCCAGACAATCTCTCTACCTGATGAACATTGAATGAAGCTATGAAGCTGTCGCGCAAGCATGCTGGGCGACGCAGCTAGCGCCCGCAAAAGGAGCGTATGACGAGCGATCGCAGCAGCTAGCCCGTGCCTAGCGGTGTAGAAAAAGGTAAGAGAGACGAACGGGTGGCGTCCCGTGGAAGTCTCTAGTGCCAATAATGCTTGATCGGCATGGCTTTGTACCTTGTTTTAGGACTGCTTTAAGGCCGGCGTGCCTTGAACACGTCGGGTGCTGCTCCGTTATCACGATCTTACTCTTCTCTCGATAGCAGGACATGCTATCGACAAACTTCCGTCGAGCTACCGTTGCGCTTCTAGCTTCAACCTGCTTAGTTCTTTGCTCCACCAGCAGCGAACATGAACAGTTCAAGGACGTAACATGGGATGACCAGAACTGGGTTATAGCGACACATGCCCTGGATCAAGGCCACTACCAGTCCCGCCTAACGCTTGCAAACGGTTACTTTGGCATCAATGTAGCATCGGCAGGACCTTTTTTCGAAGTGGATGAGCCAGTGGACGGCGACGTTATAAGTGGGTGGCCGCTGTTCAGCAGACGACAAGCTTTCTCGACCATCGCAGGCTTCTGGAACAGTCAGCCACGAACGAACGGAACGAACTACCCTTGGCTATATCAGTATGGGTGGGAGAGCTTCACTGCTGGTATTCCACATGCTGGTGGTATCGTTGTGGAAGCCAACGGTGAATTCCTGAATGCGTCAGTCAACCCCGACCACATTTCGGATTTCGTATCGAGTCTAGACGTAAAAGCTGGAATTGCGAGCTGGCGATACAATTGGCGGCCTGGTGGTTCCGGAGATGGGACAGTTGATGTGGACTATCAGATGTTCGTGCACAAGCTTTATGTGAATAAAGCAGCAGTCAGGCTAAGGCTTACTGCGACACGCGACCTCAATGTGACGGTGTACGACGTGCTTGACGGTGACTGCGCGGTTCGCTCGGACTTTGTTGCGAAGAAGTTTGAAGAAGACACACCTACGATATGGTCCGCTGTCAGCCCGGGAAACATCACCGACGTGAAGGCTTATGTATACTCGACTCTGAGTGGTAGCGATTGGGTCAATCTTACAGCTCGCACTGAAGTAGCTGGGGGCATCGTTAGTGGCGGCAATGGCTCAACCATTGCGCAGTCTCTCCCCGTCGAGCTGGTCGCCTTCCGCCCCACCGAGATCACCAAGTTCATCGGAGTCGCATCGACAGATGCCTTCCCAGACCCACAGAGTGTAGCACGCGATGCTTCGCTATCTGGTGCCGAAGAGGGTTACTATAAGCTGTTGCATTCTCACATTGAAGAGTGGGAGTCCATACTAACACCAGACTCGGTTGATGATTACCACCTACCGAATGGATCCCTGCCGGAAGACCCAGACGTACGAACATTGCACATCATGGCACGAACCAACCCATTCTACTTGTTATCCAACATGGTCGGACCTAACGCTGTAGCTGCGGCTAACAACAATACAAAGCTCGACATCTATAGTATTCCCGTCTGTGGGCTGGGCTCAGACTGTTACGGCGGTATGATATTCTGGGATTCAGACGTATGGATGGCACCAGGAGTCCAAGTATCGCATCCTCAACATGCTCAGAATGTCATCAAGTACCGCGTAGAGCACTTCGATCAAGCGCAACGCAACGTCGAAACTGCGTACCAATCCAGCAAGAACCAGACAGGTAGATTTACACCTGGAGGAGCTGTGTATCCTTGGACGAGCGGGCGATTTGGCAACTGCACAGGCACTGGCGCGTGCTTCGACTACGAGTACCACCTCAACGGCGACATTAGCCTTGCGCTCAACAATCACTTGATCATCACCGGAGATGGAGAATATTTCAACGACACTCTCTTACCCATATCGAATGCGATTGCGCATTTCTTTGGTCAGTTACTAGACTTTAACGAGACATCTGGGGCATACGAGCTTTGGAATGCCACGGACCCGGACGAATACGCCAACCAAGTCAACAACATAGCTTTTACCACTGCACTCATGCAGCGCCATTTCCTCGAAACGAATGAATTCAATAGCTGGTTTGGACGCAGCCCCAATGCTAGCTGGGCTGACAAGGCATCCAATATGCGGATTCCAATCAACGAGAATGCTGGCATCATTGTTGAGTACACTGGAATGAATGGGTCAGTAGCGGTTAAACAAGCTGGTAAGTAACATCCACCTCTTCGACAGTTGAGTCACTAATCACAACTCCTATTTAGACGTTGTTCTGGTCGACGACCTACTGCATTACCCCAATCCATACAGCTTAGCCAACCTGGATTACTACGCGGCGAAGCAGTCTCTCGATGGCCCAGCAATGACATACTCTTCGTTTGCCGTCGTCGCAAACGAAGTCTCACCATCTGGCTGCTCGAGCTTTACCTACGACGTTTACTCGTCCTCGCCATACGTCCGCGCACCATGGTACCAATACTCCGAACAACTCATTGACAACGTCAACGAGAACGGTGGCACCCACCCTGCATTTCCTTTTCTGACCGGCATGGGAGGAACTAACCGCGTGGGTATTTTCGGATATCTTGGTCTTGGTCTCTACTACGATAGGTTGGACATCGACCCCACGCTGCCGCCGCAGATCCCATATCTGAACTACCGTACATTTTACTGGATGGGACACGGTATCAACGCTACTTCCAATTCAACGCATACGACGTTGGCACGTCTGCCGCGAGAAAACTATACTCTACCCTCCGCGAACGCGACGTACTTTGATAAGCCCATTCCCGTCACGATCGGTACCCGCAGCAACCGAGACAACACAACGTACGAACTTGGAGACGAGCCACTCGTAGTCCGCAATCGACCGATGGGTGAAGTCCTTACAGTCGGCGGCAACATCCTGCAATGTAAAGCCCTCCTCCCACCACCGCAAGGTAATAAGCCTGGTCAATTCCCCATCGCAGCTGTCGATGGCGCCGCAAGCACGAAATGGCAACCCGAACTTGCGAACATCACCAGCTACTTGACCGTAGATCTCGGCGACTCATCCTTCTATCCTATCAACAAAGTCGTAATGGACTGGGGCAACCAGCCACCCTCACACTTCGAAATTTACTTCTCCAACACCTCTTTACCTCCGTTCGAAAGTCGGCCCAACTCAGAACTCGTTGAAGATGTGAGGAAAGTAACAGCAGGCGAGGTGAAGATAAGTGCGCCTTGGGATCCAGTTACGGCATATGAGATCAAGACGTACATTGGGAATCAGACGAATGTCACACTTGAGCAGAGTGTTTGGAGCGGACGGTATGCGCATTTGGGGATTAGTGGAAATCTTTTCGCCGAGAATGCGACGGATGGGGGGACGGTTGCGGAGTGGAGTTTGGTCAGGGAGGGTCTCTGAGTTGTTGAGTTTGATGGGTGATGAAGCTGTTGTACATAGATGAATGACCGCAACGTCGGCACTCGTAGATTATAATGATACTCTCATGATTCGCAGATTTTCAACCTTGTTTTGTAACCACAAAGCTCGTACAGTACCCAGCCCCAATCGTCTGGATCTCTCCTGGTATGCTGATCTCATTCCAGAATCCGCTGACCATATCGTTCTTCATGTCGACTCCAACATTTGAGAGATCGCCACAGTTCCCATGTTTACCCCAGCCCCACGATATCAATTTACCCTCTTTCGTTACGGCGAGGATGTGGTCCGACCCAACAGCAATCTTGTCCAAAAGCGGTAGATTGGGCGGTAATAACTTCCACATGTTCTCTTTACCCCACGCGGTAAGAGTGCCGTCGTCGAAGAGCACAAAGATGGCGTGCCATGTCGCGCCGATATCTTTCCAGTTCTTGACATGTTCGGGCATGTTCGAGATGATGTTGAATTTGTCTTTGCCGAGGAGATGGTGTTTACCCTGGGATGGGTCACTGACCAGGTATGTGAAGTCTTTGCCACACACTGCCTTTTTAGGCATGAACGGTATGCCCTCGATCTTGGTAGGTTTTGTGACTTTGTCAGTCAGCGCACCCCCCAGTTGGCCGAGCCGCGCTTTCCCCCAACCGTAGGCTGAGCCATCTTGCTTTATGGCGACATAGTGCCAGACTCCCGCTGTGAAATCTACAATGCAGCCTGGAAGTTCAAGGACGCTCAAGCCGTCGTCGCGTGTGCCAAGCTCACCCCAGTTGCTAGAGCCGTATATCTTGACATAGCTCATTGGAGGGTTGGATGGGTTGATCTCGACGCAAGCTGAAGATTCGCATGTAGCCGCGGCGAAACTGTCATTATGTGACAAAATGCGGAATGGTTCTAGTGGAGGTGTGGGCTCTTGGATTCCCCGCTGACCTTTGCGATTATCACCAAGACTGTAGACCATGCCGCTTTTCGTGAACAATAGCGTGTGATTGTCGCCGCCCCTGATGTAAGATATCTCGTCCAAAGAAATAGGGCAACAGCCGGTTGTAGAATTGAGGACTGGGGTTGGAGTGTTGACTATCTCGGCTGCTGGGATCCCGAGTTGACCTTCTCCATTACTTCCGAAAACGTATAGTTTGTGCGATGAATCTGTGGCAAGTGACGGGGCCACATAACAAGGGCAAGTTTTCTGAGAGCATGACATTTTGGTATGGGAGTAGTATGGTGTCGATGGATGGTTTTGGTGATGAGAGCGACTGGTGTGCGCGTGAACGAGAAAGGTTGAGTAAGGGTGCTTTGCTTTCTGAACCCTTCTAGCACACACGCGATGAAAAGAACTTTCCAATCTCTGCTTTCTTATTTTCGCAACGGAAGAAATGCCCAGGTGTAATTGTGGTGTACACAATCTTTTTTGAACGCTGTAGCGCCTCGCAAATATGTTTGTGCAGTTTACACCAACTTGCACATGAACAATATTAGAAGTGAGGCGCAGTTCAAACTGCAGCAGTAGCTTCAAAGATGCTCCGGATCAAGATCTGAAAATACTCGTGGCAAGGTTGAAGATGCGCGGCTTCTGGAGTTGACGGCGCTAGCCCGCCGCGACGCTAATCGCTTACAGGGATAGCGGGTCCGTGCGCACACTGAATTTCGACATGCAACATCGTCGGGTAACTTCCACCCATCGACGACAGCCAAACCGACCACGCCCACCCGTACTAACCGCACGCACATTCCACAGTCGCCCAACATGGCCTCCCAGAGCGTGCAATGCTTCGGCAAGAAGAAGACCGCGACTGGTACGCAAAGCCCGCCGCCCGACACCCCAGAGCAAGAAGAAGAACAAGGCTAACAATCCCGCCCACAGCTGTCGCCCACTGCAAGGTACACACGCAATGCCACGATCGAACGCGCAACCGAACAGCATACTTACGATGAAATTCTAGGCCGGAAAGGGTCTCGTCAAGGTTAACGGAAAGCCTCTTTCCCTCGTCCAGCCCGAGATCTTGCGATTCAAGGTCTACGAGCCCATCCTCATCCTCGGTGTTGACAAGTTCGGTACGCACACACGAAACCCCAGGGCGGCATACGCGCAGGAATTGCGGGCAAAATACTAACAACATGGGCAGCCGATGTCGACATCCGCGTCCGCGTCTCCGGTGGTGGACACACCTCGCAAGTCTACGCCATCCGCCAAGCCATCGCCAAATCCATCATCGCCTACTACCAAAAGTACGTCGACGAGCACTCGAAGAACCAGCTCAAGCAGGCCCTGATCCAGTACGACCGCACACTGCTCGTTGCCGACAACAGGCGGTGCGAGCCCAAGAAGTTCGGCGGTCCAGGTGCGCGCGCCAGGTACCAGAAGTCTTACCGTTAAGCGGTATCACTTTTGGGCTTGGAGAGGAGAAAGATGGAGCGGTGTATGGGGGAGCATGGAGCGGTGTTCATCCTGGGCTTTTACATGGGGTCTTCTACTGTCTACTATCTATCTCCTTAAGGACGAGGTTACGTGACATGGCGCGCAACGGCTGCCTGGTACGATCCCCCGGCTTGTGACGATACAAAATGAATACATTGGTTGCAAGAATGTGGACAACGGCATGTCGATTGTGGATGGTCATGAGATTCTCAGTGAAGCAGGATAAATGAATGCCAATCGACTCTTCCCTAGACTAACTATTTAGGCACTGAAGTGGTGCACGCAAAGCAAGTACACAGCTGTCAAGCCATGTTATGAAGAGGGCAATGGACTTAATTAACGGTCTAACATTCACCATCTCCAACACCAACGCTTCCATGCATTAATACATACACACACGCGCACACTAACACAAAGCTATCCTCCAGCCAACCACTTCGCCTTCTCGTCCTTCCAGGTACGTCCCTGGAGGTCAAGACTGTTGTTGGTATAGCCATAGATTTTGAGAGGCGAAGGCTTCTAACCATCGCTACCGCTGCTCCTAAACGCCGCACACAGCGCGGCATACTGGTGTGTGAGATCGAGGACGTGCTGGGGTAGCGAGGTACCCTGGATGATACTGCGGATTTTGACGGCGCCTTCTTCTTCGATAAGTTTGCGGATTGTGTAGAGGAGGGAGGGCGAGAACTGGGGGTATGTTAGTTTCGCCATCTTGTTGAAGGGGTGAAGGTAGACTTACCTCAGAGTACCATCGGTACTGCCAAGTGACCAGTCTGATCAACGCGGCTGTGACGTCCCTGACCTGTTTCCTCTCCTCGCCTAGTTTCAGCACGCCTCTCATGGCTTTTGGTGAGAACTTGATTTGCAGACAGTTCTCATACGCTTCCACTGCCTCCTCTGTGTGATGCAGTCTCTCGGCGAGTTCACCTAGGATCTCCCACTCCTCACTGCTCTTCTTGTATAGAAGTTGTTGTTGCCTGTACTGCGCCATCTCAGTTCGCCATATCGTGTATACTCGCAGATCCTCGTACAGGACCATGAAGAGGTTGTCGAGCCAGCGTTCGCAGAGGCGCTTGTTCTGAAAGTGTGTGTAGTTTGGTTGCGATGGGTTGCCATTGTTTGCGGCGTCGTGTGCGTGAGGGTCTTCGCTGCCGGCTTTCACAACTTCAGAGGCGACAGTGTGCATGGGCTTCTCGAGATCGTTGACTGCTTCGGCGGCCGCAGACGATGATTCGCCGTTCGTGTTGGATATCTCAGCGGAGGAACGTTCCTCGACTTCGCCATGGTCACCATTTGTTTGCTGGGCGTGTGTGTTTGGAGAAGGAGAACGGAGCGCTGTTGTGCTGGCGCTGCGAGAATGCGGTTGCTGTGCGGTCTTTTCATGGCGGTATTCCTCCTCCATGACGAAGACTTGGCTTCGTATCTTGAGTAATTGATCCCAGCCTATCTTCTTTGTAATCTCGGTCAGCAGAATGTAGGCTTTGAGGAAGGTACCCTTGAAACCCGCAGCGTGCAGCTTCCTCAGAGTTGGGTGCACAAGCTCCATATCGTCGATGTTGGAATCTTCAATCTCGTCGCACATGGCTTCTGGCATGACAGGCAGAAAGACTCGCTGTGGCTCGGGCATCCGTGGTGCGTCCTTGTCCTGGTAGGTGAACATGGGACATGAGTTGAGAGTCAACAATGCCATGTCCCACTGCTCGAGGCTGACGTATATCTCTGCTAAGCGCGCCCATGTGCCAAACTCACTAGGTGCAGACACAACGCTCCTCTTAGCAATCTCAAGCGCCAGGTCGCCGCGGCCCTTCTTGTTGCAGAACTCGGCTTGGCAGTCGAGCAGAGAGTAATCCATGGGCAATTCTTGGATGGCCTCGTGTAGCAGTTGGACTGCCTGCACCTCCTCGTCTGCCTCGATGTATACCCGCGCCAGTAGGGAAGAGATCTCCGGATCGCGAGTTCGCAATTTCTCGAACAGATTGATGCCTGAAGTATATCTACCAGTGGTATGAATGTAGTCGAGAAGACCCGTAGTCAAGTGGTTCGAGACGAGATTTGGGACTTGAATCTCGGGATCAGATCCTAATTGCCAGCCTGAATTGCGTTAGCGGAGATATCATCATGCAAGCGAATGTCATACCGTTGAAGAACAGGCGCTCTGCTGCATCCAGAAACTTGTGCTCGCTCTCGGTACTTGTGATGGGATTGAATCTCCGCACACCAACGATCTTCTTGATCGTGTCGCCGGAGCCATCGTCGGCATAAGAATATGCGCGCAGTACGCTACACAGGTAGGTCTCTAGCCAGAGTTCGTCGGTGGCTACTCGTTTGTCGCCGCGCTCATCGATGCAGTAGCTCTCCACAGTGCCAGGGATGTAGACCTGCACGCGCATGTCCAGCCGTGAGAAGGCATTGTAGCAGCTGCTCGGTCAGCAATTGCCAGCGCCGCAAGGAGACATTCCCCTACCAATACAGCCCAGAGACGACCTTATTTTGCTTGTCGTGCGCAGAGTATGTGAGGGTGTTGATGTAGGCTGCCAAGCTGGCAGACGAGGAAGCGTCTACGCCGGATACGTGGTGGTAGACGCCAATCTAATCACATGTCAAATTGGGTTCGCGGCCACTGTGCGGTCGAAGGTACTACGGACCTGTTTTGTCGCATTCTTGATGGGCTGCTTTATGAGGTGGACCAGATCTGGCGGGCCCAGCTCTCGTAGGGTCTGCAGAGATTCCGAGCGCGCTTCGATGGCGGAGTGTAGCTCGTCCTCGTAGATTCTAGAGCCATGTTAGAAGAAATTACAGCAGAAATGCGCCATGACGATGTGTTGTGACTCGAAGACAGCAGGAAGGATGCAGGTGGGCGCATATGTAAAACATGTGTAGATTGAAAGCTAGTAGGTTGCGCGTACTCGGGAACAGCTGGCGATGTGACCATGGCTTCAATTGGCGCCGCAAATGCGGGGGGACGATGGCGGTGAAGAGGATGCTATGGCGGGGGCGGGTTGCTGGCGGAGGGGCTTGGTATGCACTTCACAGCCCGGGCGATGTTTGTCAGGGTTTCGGTGTCCTTGCTGAGTATGGAGGGCAGGCACGGTAGCTCATCGCGGAGGACCGCAGCTGCCAAGACGGGGCATCCCTGCGCTCCATCATTCACTGTCGCGTCGCGTCACACCGAGGCCTCACGACGTGTCATAGGCCACAGCCCAGTCGCATCCCACCTTCTTTGTCCACACCATCGTCGCGCCTTCCATGGTTGCCTGCTGCTCAGGGTCTGTATCACCAATGCTGTGAAACGTCTCTCATTTGCCTGTCGGCCTTTCCCAACTGCCTACAACCACGCACATCTCGCATCATGGTAAGTACAACCCCGGCATTCTCAACCATGC